CGGGGGGCAGTGGCGAGCGGGGCCGGTGTCCCGAGTCTCTGGGCACGGTCCTGCGCGCCGAGGTGTGGAGCTTGGGAATGGGAGACACGCGGAAAAGGGTTTCCTGAGGGATCTCCTGCCCTCTGGAAAGTAGTCACCCTGGAAAGGAAAGCTGCCCAGAAGGCTGTCCTGGGAATGAGCCACCCGGCTGGAGAGGCGGGATGGGAGGAGGCATGCTGGGGGATCCGGGAAGAGGTCGGGGGGCTAGGCGGTGGTGATTACAGATGCGCACCAAACAGTAATGACAGTGGTAATAACCACCGCTTAAAAACAACAGCCACTATTTATTTAAAGGCTCACCATGGGCCAGGGGCTTGGCTAAGCCTGTTACCCACACTTTTTCCACGAGATCGCTTCAGTGTTTCCTTGGGAAAATATTATTCATGTCTTCTACCTAGGAGACGAGGAAATGAGGCTTGGGAGAGGTTAAACCTGCCCAGGCCACAGAGTTGAGGACGTGGGGCCCAGAAACATCCCAGGCCTGGGCTGGCTTCCATCTCTGGTTCCTCGGCTCTCTTAGAATCCCAGGCCTGTGGGAGGAAACTTAACCCTTTCTGGTGCTTAGTCCCCAAATTCTACTGTTCTTCCTCCTCCACAAGAAGGTATAGATACATATACAGCTAAGATACTGATGTAGATTCATTTTGTGTTTATTTTATATTTATCTGTTATATGTATTTAAGAATATTGCCTTGAAAATTTAAGCCTACATCAAATCTATAAACATAGATTCAAGTCTTGGGACCTATCTATGGTATGTATGGAATAAAAGAAGTAACAGAAGCTCAACATTCCAGGATCCCCTTTCTCTGCGTGTTCTTGTCTCAGGTTTTATAAATCCAAGCAGTCTCTGTAAGGAACCTAGTAAGCTAATTGCTATTAACTCAGATAATGTAACACATTGAGGTGAATAGTGCTCTAAGTAAATGCCAGTTGCCAATACCCATTAGTAGTTGTTGAAAAAGTGGATCAATGAATGGATGAACCAGATTTTTTCAGGAATTCTGACTGGTGGACTTAAAATTCTTCCCAAACCATTACTTTTACTTTTTAAGTACAATGTCCCCTTTGGTTTGAATTCGAATGCCGTCTATCCACTTTTCTAAAACAGCATTTTAAGTAATCGAAACAATCAAATTACCACTCTTAGGAGAGTGATTAGATAATCTGTAGCACATTCGCACAGTGAGCTATTACCCAACTCTGAAGAGAAAGATCTCCCTGAGCAGATGCCAAATGAGTCTGGGACACAGAAAGTGGGGAAAAAAATACATATTTCACATTTACTTGAGGAAAAAAGAAACGAGAATTTATGTGTATATATTTGCAACTTTTTGAAAAAAAGTGGTAAGTAAATCAGAAATTGACAAAAATGGTTCCTTATAGGAGAAGGGTAAGAATGAGTGGAGGGACGAAGTATGAAAGTGAAAATTCTCAGTGTCTCTTTTTGCCCCTTAATCATGATGGTTACATGTTTGTTGTTTATTTTAGTACTGGGAATCGAACTCAGGACCTTGCATTTTCAAGGCAAGCGTGGTGCCACTGAGCTAAATCCCCAGCCCATACATTTTCCTTTTTAAATCAATTAAATCAAAGATTTTTAAGCCCTAAAATTAAATTCAGACAGTAACAAAATTAGCTGTATTTTGAATTAATAATATAACCATATAGAAAAAAATAAGTAACATTTGAAATTTTAACTCTGACTATATATCCTTGGGGGAGTATATATTATATTAAGAACTCCATGAAAATCTTGAATGTTACTAGTTTGTTTTTTTTAATTCAGTTTATTGGTACATTTTAGGGATATAGTACAGTTACATTCATCATTGGGATCTTGTACCTCTACATGACAGGTCTTGGTTCTCATTTTTTCCCCTTGTCCCTGCCCTCCCTTCACCCCCTCCTCCCCTCCCCACTTACAAACACTTTATCTCCATCTTTTCATTTGTTCACATTTTTTCTTTTCCCTTATTTGTTTTTATATGAATATTAGTGTTATGATGTGAAACCATTTTTCCTTGTATGATAAAATAGAATACATGAGGAAATATATGAATGATCTTCAGAATCATGATTTTGATTCTAATTTATATAAAACTGTCAAATGACAGAAGCTAAGAAAGAACCTCATCCTGTTGGATTTGACTGTTCTGTTCACTGAAGATACTAACAGCAATAACAGTCCGATTGTAAGGATGCTCAAAACTTAATTACAGCCCCATAAGGGCCTCTTTCAAGACCCTGTACCTAATTTCATATTTGGAATTTTGTTTCCTTTTTAAAAAATGTTCCAAAATTGTATTAGCTTCAGACACCACAAATCTAGATGTATCCCTTGCTGTGAGACACCTAGCACCAGGATCTTGGTTTCTAAACACCATTTCCCATTAGGAACCAGAGCTCCTGGGAAAAGTAACTGCTTTCAGGTCTAAGGCAGGAAGAAGTCAAGATGAGCCTAGAACATACATTTTTATGTCAGAAATCTAGAAACTAATAAGGTTGTGAAACTCACATTCACATGCACACAAATGAGCTAGCTTGAAGGAAGTATCACTGCCAAGTTTGGGACAATTTGACCATCAAAAAAAGAAAAATGATTATCATAATTACAGCCTCCCACACCCAATATCCACGAGTTTACAGTAATGTTCACAGTGAGATAGAATAAGAGTGAGGTGAAGGCAGGGTGGCGTGGGGCTTTATAGCAATCACAAATACAGATAAATTTTTATTTATTTACTTATTGGCTTTTTTCTTTTTTGAGACAAGGTCTTGCTATGTAGTTTGGGCTGGCCTCAAACTTGCAGCAATCCTCCTGCCTCAGCCTCCCACATGCCAGGACTACAGGCATGTGCCACCACACCCAGCATACAGATAATTTTTTTAAACCACCACTTCTGCAACATCCTTGTAATATATGGCTCCAGCAAAGATTACATTATTTATGGACGCTAAAACTTTCAAGTGAAACCAGTTGTGGTAGCACTGGGGAGGACAGCCTGTCTCAAAAAAAGCCTACCAACCAACCAAACAAAAAAAACCCTCCGGGGGGAAGGTTATTGGTTAATAAGATATTCATATTATGTAGGCAGAGCTTCAGTTAGATCCTGAGTTGAAAAACAGAGCTATAATAGTTTTTCTTTCAGGTCAGTTGAGAAAATTTAAATATGAACAGCATATAGTGGAATTCTTAACTGATGCTAATTTTCCAGGTATGGCAATGGCACAGGGAATTGCCACAGCGGATGAATGCTGCAGCAATAGGCTAAAGTACACTGATCTGCAAAACTGACTTTCAGATCTCAGTCAAACACTGGTGAGTCCGACTGCAGGGTATTTAGGAGCTTTTACAAATATTCTTAACATTGCTCTGTAGATTTGAATTTTAAAAAAACCCAAAAAGTTCGGGAGGACAAAACCCTTCTACTTCCTCAAGTCCATGAATCCACTGACTTGCTAAACAGCCCTTCAGAATGGTGCGGTTTCTCTTTAACAAAGAGCCTCTGAATCCAACCTCACAACCACTAAGTGTAAAAGAGCAAAGGGAGAGCGACTGTCTCAATGGGGACTTAGGGATCCGACGGTGGATCAGGTGATCTCCACTCCACTTCGTACCAGTTAAATCCTGCTTAAGCTTCCTGTCCAACAAAATATGCTTAAATCAGCTCCCCTCTTCAGGGAATCACACGCGGTATCAGAATGGGAAGCATTTGCAAATGGCAAATGCAGCCATAAAAATATTTAGCTAGTATAGTGAGTACCAATACCAAAGTATGCATTAATACTATACTGTCTTATCAGCACATGTACATTAGACTTTTTCTGAGATGCACATTTTTCCAGCTTTTTATTTTTTACTTTTTTAGAAATTCCAAATGTGAATCTCATCAGCTATTGTCTTCTGACTCTTACCAAACAGGAAACAGAGGTGAGTGAGGCTGCCCAGTTACTTAAAGCAGCGAGCCACACCAACAGGGACATGGCCCTGCTTGCAAAAGTCCTAAGTCCAAAGGGCTCTCCAGTTTCCTTCACTCAAGTCCTGTGATTAGTGCGATTGAGACTTATTAACCACAGAAATAGCTTGTCCTTTGTTATCTTGTGGAGAGTATTACTTTATGATGCTTTTATTACATGGAGTTTCAATTTCTTTTATTTCCCATTCCTAAAGTTATCTTGAGATAGAAGTAAGATAGGTAGAAAGCAGACAAAGAATAATAACTTTTTTTTTTTTTTTTTTTTTGGTACTGGGGATGGAACTTGGGTCCCTGCACTTGCAGGGCAGACAGTGAAACCACTGAGCTAAATCCCCAGCCCATGGAATAATAACTTAAAACTGTACTCTTAAAATGATTGCAAAGCACAGCCTAGTGGTTCAGGCCTATAATCCCAACACTTGGGATGCTGAGGCAGGAGGATCGCCATGAGTTCGAGGCCAGCCTGAGCTACATAGTGAGTACAAGTATAGCCTGGACTACAAAGATGACCATTTATTAAACAATCAGTCAGGGTGAGTCTTTTGAGTCCTGGCTAGGCCAGATCAATGCCCCTCCTCAGCCTAAAACAGTTACAAGGGGAAAAAAACAAAACAAAACAAAACAAAAACCATCAGGGCTTCTGCACTGTGCTATTTTTTGGTTTTTTTGGACAGGGTCTTGCTATGCAGTTCAGACTGGCCTTGAACTCATTATGTAGCGCAAACTGGCCTGGAACTCTTGGTGATCCTCCTGCTAGGATTATAGGCATGTACTACCACTTGTGCTCTCACCCTCTTAAGAATAAGGGATCAAAGTCTGGGGGTAGGATGAGGTAAACAGAA